TCGGCTTCGGCCTCTCACACCTTCACCCTTGACTCTGGAGCGTCTCGCTCCTTCTTTAGGGACCGCACCACTCTCACGCCGCTGAGTCGGCCGGTTGCGGTGTCCCTGGCTGACCCCTCTGGGGGGCCTGTCCTGTCTCGCTTCTCCACTGTCCTCCCGTGTCCGGCGGCCCCCTCTGGCACCCTGACTGGTCTCTACCTCCCCTCGTTCTCGACGAACTTGGTGAGTGGTGCTGACCTCCAGGATGCGGGTGTCCACCAGTTCACCCCTGCTCGTCAGCGGGTGACCCACTGCACGGAGGCGGATACAGGTCGCCACCTGGCTACGTTTACACGTCGGCCAGGGTCGAGCCTGTACACACTGACCACTGCTTCTCCTCCAGGTGCTACGTCTGGTAGGGTCCCTTTGTCTGGTCAGGTGTTTGCTGCAGCGTCCAGGTCTGGTCCTGAGTTTGCCCCCTGCTCGTGTCGTCGTCTGTCTCACGAGACCCTCCTCTGGCACCACCGCCTTGGCCACCCCTCTCTGCTTCGGCTCAGAGGCATGGCCTCGCGAGTCCTTGTGTCTGGTCTTCCCCGGTCTCTCCCTCCCCTTCCTCCGGGCCCTGGCCCTACCTGTGTCCCCTGTGTCGAGGGGCGCCAGCGTGCTGCCCCTCACTCCTCCCAGTTTCCTCCGACAGAGGCCCCGTTGCAGACGCTTCACATGGACGTGTGGGGCCCAGCCCGCGTCCGTGGACAGGGTCAGGAGCGCTACTTCCTGCTGGTGGTTGACGACTACTCGCGTTACACCACAGTCTTCCCCTTGCGCAGCAAGGGTGAGGTCACTGAGGTGCTGCTCGACTGGATCCGCGCAGCTCGTCTCCAGCTTCGGAGGAGCTTTGGCTCTGACTTCCCTGTTTTGCGTCTACACTCGGACAGAGGCGGAGAGTTCTCCTCTGGCCTCCTGAGTGCCTACTGTCGTGCGCGAGGCATCCGTCAGACCTTCACGCTTCCGGACTCACCACAGCAGAATGGGATTGCTGAGTGCCGCATTGGCATGGTCATGGACGTCGCTCGTACGTCCATGATGCATGCGGCTGCTCCCCATTTTCTGTGGCCGTTTGCGGTCAGGTACGCTGCGCACCAGATCAACCTCCACCCCAGGGTCTCTCGACCGGAGACCTCCCCAGCCCTGCTGTGGACGGGGAAGGTTGGCGATGCGTCGGCGTTCCGGGTCTGGGGATCTCGGGCGTTTGTTCGCGACCTGTCTGCGGACAAGCTGTCCCCTCGTGCTTCTCCCTGCGTCTTCCTGGGGTTCCCCCCCGAGGCCCCTGGGTGGCAGCTTTACCACCCCACCTCTCGACGTGTTCTGTCCTCCCAGGACGTCACGTTCGACGAGTCGGTACCCTACTACCGCCTCTTCCCCTACCGCACTCCGTCCCTCCCCCCACCCACGCTCTTCTTGGTACCAGGTACCCCCCCGGTAGTCCCCCTCCCCCCTCAGGGTCCTGCCCCTTCAGGTGTGTCCCAGGTAGACGCGGTCGAGCCTGTCGAGGTCACTGGTGACTCTGGTGCTGCTGCGGGAGCTGAGCCTGGGGGTGCGGAGTCTGTGGGTGCTGAGCCTGGGGGTGCTGAGCCTGGGGGTGCTGTGCCTGGGGGTGCTGTGCCTAGGGGTGCTGAGCCTGGGGGTGCTGCGCCTGGGGGTGCTGTGCCTGGGGGTGCTGAGCCTGGAGGTGCCGAGCCTGGGGGTGCTGTGCCTGGGGGTGCTGTGCCTAGGGGTGCTGAGCCTGGGGGTGCTGAGCCTGGGGGTGCTGTGCCTGGAGGTGCTTCGTCTCGCCGGGAGCCACTCTCCCCACAGGAGCTGCGTGAGTGGTTTGCCAGGCGCTGGAGGCGTGCTGCTGGTGCTGGTGATTCTTCGGCTCCAGAGGGTACTGCTGCCGCGCGTCCCGCCGGTGCTCGTACTGTGGGTGCTGGTGCTGCTGGGTCTTCGAGTTCTCCTGGAGCTGGTACTGCTGAGGGTGTTGGCGCTGAGCCTGCCGTTGGTGGTCCGACTGACAGTGCTCCTGGTGCTGCTGCTGGAGGTTCTGGAGCCTCTGGTGGTGCTGCTCGAGGTGCTGCTGGAGTGGGTGCTCCTGCCGGGGCTGCTGGTGCTGTTCCTGCTGTTTCTAGCGTCGCCGCGCGGCCCCGACCATACTTCGTTCCGCTCCTGCAGCAGGTTCTTGGTCTTACACCTCCTCCTCCTCCCTTAGAGGGTCCGCAGCCTGTCCGGTCACAGCCACAGCTACAGCCTGCCTCCCCTTTGCCTGCTCCTTCTCCCTACGCTGGTCCGACTGGAGGTCTTACTGAGCGTCGTGAGCCTGCGTCTCGTCCTGTGTCGCCTGTTCGTACTGAGCGCGCTAGTGGTCGCGGGTCGCGTCAGCGTCCTCCTCCTGTCCCTGGCACGCACCGGATGTCACTGCGTCCGTCCACTGCTCCTCTGCGTGCCCCTTTGCCTTCTCCTCCTGCTTCCTCTCTTCCTGCTCTTGCCGACCCGGAGTCGGACTCTCTTCGTGCTGCCAGTCCTACTGTCACGCGTCTCCTTGCTACTGCTGTCACTGACCCTTCCTTCGAGTCGTCTGCTGCGTCTGCCCTTGTCACTGAGCTAGTCGACTTTGCTGCGCGCTGTCGTCTAGACTACGCTGCTCGTCTTGTCACTGAGTCTGAGTCCGCCTGTCCTCCGTCCGTCGGGGGTGAGTGTGCCCTTGGCACGGACGTCCTTGAGGACAGGCAGGAGGAGTTCTAGTGTCTGGCCGCCGCTTCACCTCGTCTCGCGTCTGTACTGCTAGCCCCTGAGGGAGACCCGGATGCACCAGACATCCCGACTCCGCACTCTTACGCGGAGGCGATAGAGGGTCCCTACTCCTCTCAGTGGCAGGCAGCTATGGATGCAGAGATGGGTTCCTGGAAGTCCACAGGCACCTACGTTGACGCTGTTCCCCCTCCTGTGGCGAACATCGTCAGTGGCATGTGGATTTTCAGGGTGAAGCGGCCGCCGGGTTCTCCGCCTGTCTTCAAGGCGCGTTACGTGGCTCGTGGCTTCAGTCAGCGGCAGGGGGTTGACTACTTTCAGACCTTCTCCCCCACCCCGAAGATGACCACTCTTCGGGTTCTGCTGCACGTTGCTGCTCACCGTGACTACGAGCTGCACTCTCTCGACTTCAGCACAGCTTTCTTGCAGGGCAGCCTGCACGAGGAGATCTGGCTGCGTCGCCCACCTGGCTTCACTGGGTCTTTCCCTCCTGGTACCCAGTGGAGTCTCCGGAGTCCAGTCTACGGTCTCCGCCAGGCGCCACGTGAGTGGCACGACACACCGAGGACTACGCTCGCGGCACTTGGGTTTGCTCCTTCTACTGCCGACCCGTCGCTGTTTCTGCGCACCGACACCTCTCTGCCGCCGTTCTACATCCTCGTGTACGTCGACGACTTGGTCTTTGCCACAGCTGACACTGCTGGACTCGCCTACGTGAAGTCCGAGCTGCAGAAGAGACACACGTGCACTGACCTGGGTGAACTGCGCAGCTACCTTGGCTTGCAGATCACCCGGGACAGAGCACGCCGCACCATTACCCTGACTCAGTCACACATGGTGCAGCAGGTCCTTCAGCGCTTCGGCTTCACGTACTCCTCGCCTCAGGCCACTCCTCTGCCTACTCGCCACTCGCTCTCAGCTCTGCCTTCGGATGAGTCCGTAGAGTCGAGTGGCCCGTTTGCAGAGCTTGTTGGCTGCCTCATGTACCTGATGACCTGCACACGACCTGACCTTGCATACCCTTCTAGCATTCTCGCACGCTTTGTTGCTCCTGGGAGACACCGACCAGAGCACATGGCTGCAGCGAAGAGGGTGTTGCGCTACTTGTGCAGTACGTCGGGCATGGGGCTAGTGCTTGGAGGGCGCAGTCCAGTGGTCCTCACTGGGCACGCAGACGCTTCTTGGGCTGACGACCAGGCTACGCAGCGGTCGTCACAGGGTTACACCTTCAGCCTTGGTTCCGGCTCTATCTCGTGGCGGGCTACCCGCTCGTCTTCTGTTCTCGGCTCCAGTTGTGAGGCTGAGATCTACGCTAGGGCTATGGCTGCACAGGAGTTACGCTGGCTCACCTACCTGCTGACCGACCTTGGAGAGCAGCCTCGTTCTCCTCCAGTCCTGTACGTAGACAACAAGGCCATGCTGGCCTTGTGTCGAGAGCAGCGACTGGAGCATAGAACGAAGCACATTGCTCTCCGCTACTTTCTTGCTCGTGAGCTACAGCAGCGTGTACAGTTGCGACTTGCGTACGTGGCCTCTGAGGCCAACACTGCTGATGTCTTCACCAAGGCACTTGCGCCTTGTGATCATCAGCGTTGTTGCACGCAGTTGGGTCTTGTGCCTGTCTTGCCTCACTTGCTCTCCTCTTGACCTTGCTTGTACCTTCGCCTATATATACTCTTGCTCTTGCTTGCTTGACTCTTGTATATCTCTATATATGATCTTGCATGTGAACTGGCCTTCTGGCCTTTGAACTTGTGCTCGGAATGCGTGGTGACTTTGTGATCCACCCTGAGCTTTGCTTTGCTTTGCTTGACTGGTCTTGTGACCCCTTGTTCTCCCCCACTTTGCCTATGGGGGTGTGTCAGAACATATAGCTTACTTGTTTCTGTAGGCTATAGTGGGGTATCCCATAGGGGGTACAACACAATTAAGTTTTCCTATTTGTATTCACTTCACTTCATAGTCATTCATTCTCGTTCACACTTTCTCAGGTACACCACCAAACAGGATATCACGATAACTGCACTAACGTTAGAACTACATGCAGTTATAACAACATAATTCTGACAGTTGGCAGCGTGAGGGCTGTCCTCTACGAGGAGATGCCTCGTAGAGGAGCGGCTCGGCACCTATGGATGGGGCACTCTGGCTGGGTGAGTAGTCGGGCTCTCACTTCATTTCGTGCTCAAGGAGGTTGAATACTCGTCTCAACCTTGCTCTCGGCAGGCTCTCTAACCATGCGTAGCAAAGTACCACTAGGCAAGTCCTCACCTCGTCCTCACATGCAGGTGAATAACCACGGGCGAATTATCTCGCCCGGCGATGACATCCATGTAGCCATGGCGAAGAATGCGAGCAAGGCGGGAAGTCCTACCGCCGCCTCCGGTGCGAGCTGTGACGAGGACGACCGAGACGAAGCGAACGGCGACGACGTCGAGGAGGATTGGCCAGAGAACGGCAACGACGATAGCACTTCGGGCGACGAATTAGGTCCTGCCGACATCGAGGAGGACGAATGGTGGAATCGGCCGGTCGGGAGCGACGACGAGGTGGAAGAGTGGCGGGCTGGTGATTCCGATAACGACAGAGGTGAAAATGCGCATGGTGACAACGCGGAGGCAGCGGCGGATGCACAGGAAGCGGCGGTGGATGCGAATGAGGAGGCTGACGACGAGGCGGGGGCGGAGCTTGAGACAGTTGCGCCTGCGGATGCAGCCGCAATTGCGGATGCGGATGCTGTGGCGGAGTTGGACAAGGTTGCTGCGGATGCCATCTTATTTGACGAGGAAGGCGGCGACAACGACCCATGAGCCTTGGGACCGACGACGACGTTCCGCTACTAAAGCGGAGGCTGCGCCATCGCCTATAGTCCAAGTCGAAGCGGGCCCGCGTGGTGCTCACTGACGACGACGGCCCGGGGGAGGAGCGTCGCCCGATACTCACCGCTGCGGAGAAGGGGAAAGCCAAGGTCGCGGAAGCCCCTGCTAAGGCCCTTGCTCGTCACCGCACAAGCAACAAGAAGCGGACATCAAACGGAGACCCGAGATCCAGCAAGGGTGCGGCTAAGAAAAAGGCGAAGAAGGCGCCGAATCCTGACGACATCGTCGTGAACGAGACGCTGGGCAGCGACGATGAGTACGCGGCGACGGCGGGCCCTATTCCCACGTTCCCTGAGAAGGTCACGCCGAAGGACCCCACCCTCCACAATCCCAACACCCGCCCACCTATCCCTCGCAGCAAAGACACTACGAAGAAGCGCCGCAGTTGGACCGTGCGTGAGAAGCTTAAGTGGGCGCGCCGCTATTAGGAGCTCGGCTCCTTGAAGAAGACAAGTGTGGAGTCAACCGCGTCCATCGCCTGCACAAGACGCTGGTGTGCGGAGAAGGAAGCGGGCATCTACAAGGACGCGGCTAGCTACCGCAAGCGGATGCACGGGGGGGGGGGGCGCCACTCACACTACCCCGACATGGAGGCAGCGTTGTACCGCTACATCTGCCTTCAGCGCGCTAACGTGGTGGCCATCTCGGTGAAGGACACCCAGAAGTGGAGCCGCAAGTGGATGAAGAAGCATTACCCCGACAAGAACTGTAATGCGAGCTCTTGTCAAAGAGAGTAGGAGCACGACCTAGGCTTAGTAGCCTAGGCCATAGTAGGACTAGAACGAGGAGGCGCCAAGTACGAGCTAGGATTGTGTGCAGAAATAGAATTGAGAAGGAATGATGGAACTAGCAAGCAGCAGGATACAAATAACAAACCCTAAGGGGCTGTACTCACTATTGAGTGCCCCACTGCAGGCTACACAAACAACATATTCTGACAGCTCTTACTGGAGCCAGCGTTTCCGTGACCACTGGGACCTGGTGATGCAGGTGAAGAACAAGGTCGGCCAACGTCTTTCGGCAGGTGCGTGTTGAAGGATTTTGTGTCGCGCTATTGAATGCATGTACCTCACCCATTGTCTAACCATCCCGTGCTTCTGTGCGCTTGTCCCGTTTGCAGAGTGCGCGAAGGACTGCGAGTCCTTCTGGAAGTTCATGCGCATCAACAGGGCGCGGCACAACATCGACCTGGCCCGCATCATCAACGCGGACCAGGCTCCACTATTCGTGGAGATGCCAGCCGAATGGATGATTGAGCACCGTGGCGTGCGCTCGGTCCCAATCCGCACTGCAGGCTACCAAAAGACGCGCTTGACGGTGATGCTCACGTGCACTGCATCCGGGGAGAAGCTGCGGCCGTGGGTCTGGTTCAAGATGAAGAACGTCCCCAACTGTGAGATTTTGGAAGGTAAGCGTAATGAATTCAACCGTGCGATTGCCTGAGCGTGCCCCACTGTGCTGATGCCTGTCTGTCCCTTGTGTGCCTGGCAGGAATCGTGGTCCAAGCACAGGACAACGGGTGGATGGACGAGAGCGCTGTCCAGACCTGGCTGTCCAAGGAGGTGCTGCCCCATCTGAACCCCCAGTGCGGCCAGAACGCAAGGCGGGCGATGCTGGTGTTGGACTCCTACCGCGGTCACATCACCCAGACCATGCTTCAGTCATACCGCACGCACAGCATCACCCCTGCAGTCATCCCAGTGGGTTGTACGAGCCAGATTCAACCCCATGGACGTCTCCATCAACCGGTGCTTCAAGGTTGCTGTGCGAGCGCGCTACGCCAGGTGTTTCATGCGTGAAGGGGTTCACCTGAAGACGAAGAAGGGTGAGTTGGTCCTTCATTTACGGTTTTATTCCTGTTGTGTTTCCTGTCATTGTCTTAAACATGCTCTTTCATATCCGTATCTCTAACATCTCACTACCCCGTCCTCTGTCCCACCCGCAGGGAACCTGCGGAGGCCTCCACACCCCGTAGTGCTGCAGTGGATCGCGGAGGCTTGGGATCAAGTCCCCAAGCAGATCATCATCGACGCGTTCCGCCACTGTGGGATCTCAAGCAAGTTGGACGGAACGGAGAACCACCTGGTGATGTCTCACCTGCGCGCCAGGAGCACCACCGATGTCTCCGCGGACATGTCCCTCGGCGGGACCATAGGCGACAACACGCGCCTGCTCGGTCGGGCTCCAGAGGAGGAGGAGGAGGCGATGCAGGCGGAGGGCATGCGGAAGGTGGCCGTGGCAACCGGCTTGGAGGTGCTGTACCAAGAGACCCCCAACTACTGTGGAGCGGCGGCCGAGGCTGACCGCATGATCGAGCCAAAGGAGACGGCTAGGCATGCCTGGCGAGTGCCAGACCTGGGTGTAGAGCCTGTTGTTAGTGCAGGTGAGGAGGCGGTTACTGAGGGGGGTTAGATAGAAGTAGAGATTCATGACTGTATGCATGTACCCCCCTAAAGTAAGGAAGGCTCGTTTAGAAGATACCCCCTGCTTATAAGAAAACCCCTAAACCCTGGTTTTGATTATAAGACATATATGTCTTATCTCGTACACACAAATAGGTGTCGTATAAAAAGGCTAGCGTGTTTATAAGAGACACCCGTATAGTAGACAACCCCTGTCTACTATTCAACACTTTCTTAGGGCGTATTCCTACGACCTTCTATCAAGAAACCTCCTATCAAGAATGTAGTATGACAATGTGTACGTTATAAAACACCAGATATCAAGATTGGAATGATATTAGGGAACCAATAGAAATGCTGGCAGGGTGTCGTATGAACGTGATGACTTCCCGGAACACGGTCCCATCCAACGAACAGACGTCAAGCCAGTGTATGCGGCAGTCACCAATTCGTGCCATGCTGGACGATGTGGCAGTTGTGCGCTGCGCGCGACCGTGCATGGAACGCAAATTTTGGGTGCCACTTTCACACCTAGCGCCAGACAACACGTATACCACCTCCTGCACGTGAGGGGTTGGCGTGGATGGGCATGTGTGAGCGAGCTGTTTATAGACTTGTCCCCTTGGCACACTTCGTGCTTACGTGGTGCACTGTTGATGTGAACCGGAGCGCCTGATCAAGGTGGGTCGCAGCGTGCCACATCAGCGTTTGTTTTGGGTCGCACATGGGGGGAAACCGTCAAGTTTTGTTGATAGGAGGTTACGCGAGCTTGCAAATTTACAGGCGAGAACTACATTCTTGATAGGAGGTTTCTTGATAGGAGGTCGTAGGAATACGCCCTTATATCCGGGCGATGACGGTATCTACCCTTTGCTCTTACGCTTCTTCCCAACAGCTGCCTCCACACTACTGCCTGTGCTGCCCCTCCTCCCAAACCGCCCTGCCCGGCTCTCCTCCTCCCCACCATCGTCACTCCCATCCCCATCTCCCACTCCTCCCACTATCTCCTCCTCCTCCCTTCTCCCCCTAACCCCCCACTTCCCCCTCCCAGCCAACCTAGCCCCCAATCTCTCCTCCACAGCAGCAGCAGTCCGTGCAGCTGACTGTGCCACTCCCTCCCCCCACCCTCCCCCTCCCCCTCCTCCCCCCCTGCCTCCCCATCCTCTTCCCCCTCCCCCTCCCCTTCCTCCTCCCCCAGTGCCCCCAGCGCCCATGGCTTGGCTGTGCGAGACAAAGCGAGCGCCCAGGCCCAGTCTGAGGGGAGGGGCCAAAGGAAGGGATGGGGGGGGGGGATGAGGCGAGGGATGAGGGGGGGAATGGGGCGAGGGATGAGGGGGGGAATGGGGCGAGGGATGAGGGGGGGAATGGGGCGAGGGATGAGGGGGGGAATGGGGCGAGGGATGAGGGGGGGAATGGGGCGAGGGATGAGGGGGGGAATGGGGCGAGGGATGAGGGGGGGAATGGGGCGAGGGATGGGGGGAGGGGTTGGGGCGAGGGAGGGGTTGGGGCGAGGGATGAGAGGAAGGGATGGAGACAGGGGCCGGGGCATTGAGATGGCGGAGGGGATGGGGAAGGGGATGACGGGAGGGGATGGAGGAAGGAAATGGGGGGAAGGGATGAGGATAGGCGATGGATGATGGAGGTGGGAAAGGGCCAGGGAGCAGTGTGAAACAAAGGGGCAAGGTACTGCTGGGGCATCAACCCTTGTGCCAGTGGAAGGCGTGGGGGCTGGGAGCACTGTGAGCAACAGCGGTTCTGTGGGGTGAAGAATGGGTTTTCAGGCCTATGGGCTGAGGGGAAATGAAAGGGGAGAGGAATGTGGGGGAAGCAATAAGGGTGTCTCAACAAGTCCATTCACCCCCCACCAACACGCATGATTTAAACCCGTATCGTTAAACCTAACCTCCGAAGTGCATACCTCAAACACATAACCTGAACCCTCTTGGTAACCCTAAGTCTGTGGTCCTAAACCCACAATCCTACCCGTAACCCTAAACCCATTACCTCAAACCCGAAACCCGTAACCTGAAATCACCAATGTGCATACCTGGGTGGACGAGCCATCGCCTCCAACGCATCCCCACCGGTCATCTCCGACTCTCTGAACGCATCCCCGTTATAAGCATCCCCTCTTCCAGCATCAATCACAGCCTCTGCACCGTCGCCCCCCTCCCCCCTGTGCCCTGCCATCTGTCCCAGCATGCGCTGGGCCTGGCATGGCACGGCAGGGGTGACACGGAGGAGCAATGAGAATCAGGGGGATGCAAGGGGTGGCAAAGGGGGAGTTTGGATGGAGTGGGCGTGCTGTATTCCTGCGCTTCACTGCAGGCGCACACGAGGCTGGATGCTCTTGCCTCCATGGCTGTCCCTGTGCCTGTGCCTGTGCCTGTGCCTGTCCCTGTGCCTGTCCCTGTGCCTGTCCCTGTGCCTGTCCCTGTGCCTGTGCCTGTGCCTGTGCCTGGGCTCACACGAGGTGCGGGCAGCACACACGAAACGTGGAGGGCCGGGGTGTGCAGGGGAGGGAAGAGGGGGGAAGATTAGAAAGGGGAAAGGGAGGGATGTAGTGGGATCGGAAAGGAAGGGAAGGGAAGGGAAGGAAAGGGAAGGAAAGTGGGGAAGAAAAGGGAAAGGGGGGGGGAAAAGGGAACGTAAGGGAAGGGAAGGGATGTGGGGCAAAGAAAAGGGGACGTGAAGGGCAGAACAAAAGGCTTGCATTCAGCAGAGGTAAGGTGGCGAAGAGATGAGCAAGACACCAGGAGCGAGGGAGGGGCGATAAGAAGTTCTTGAGGACAAGGGGAAACTGTTGAGCTGTGTGACGGCAGAACTCCATGGGTGAGCACACAGCTGCTGCTGCGTGAGCACCCATCATTTGATACCAAGCGACTGCGTTGGATACCAAAGAACAGTGTGGCGTGGCGTGGCGTGGCGTGGCGTATAGACCCTTGGCTGGTACCAAATGATGGTGAGAGTACAGTGGGTGCCATGCGACGTATAGTCTGCTGGAACATCAACCCTCATGCCTCATCCGTAATCCAACTAACCCCCGAACCCCCGCCAGACCCCCGAACCCTGAGGCTCTGAACGCTAGAACCGCTTCAAAGAGGTTCAAACCGCAGAGGTCAAGTCCGACGTGCCTCGAACCAAAATCCTTACAAACATCTTTCAGGAGTGACCTGCCCCAGACCAACCGACCGACCGTCGCACCATGGAAAGAGCCTCGTTTGAAAGGACCACTTTAGCCTGCCGCTCGCTTTCGCCCGTCCCAACTCCGCTACCGCCTGTCTTGCCTCCGCCACTGTTTCCCCCGCCCGCGCCGTGTCTGCCGGCGGCGGAACCGCCGCCGCTGCCTGCCGCCTGCGATGAGGCGAGCGCGCGAAGGCGCTTCAGCGGGACGAGGCGCTCCGCCATGGCGGGCGGGCGTAGATTGCTTTACCCGGGTGTGACTCTGTGAGCAAGAGAGTACTCGAGTGTCTGCCTACTCTAGGATATGGCTACAATAAGGTCTGGTTACCTAGCGTAATGCGACGAAGGAACACGTGATGTTATGAATGAACTTGCAGAGTGCGCAGAATATCGAATAACGAGAATGAACTGATTACTGAATTATTGAATGCCGATACAATGAGAAAAGCACGACTAAATAGGGGAAGTCCTAGCTAGGCGCAGAGGTTGGGCGAGGATGGCTCGGTGATGTTTGCGATTGGTGCGGAGGCGACTCGGGAGTGGTTCGGTGCGACGAAATAGGAAGGACAGGTTCGTCGCGTGACCCTCGGGATGGCCTCGCTAACGAGTGCCCCAGTAAGGATTTTGTAAATCCTTACACGTGAGGTGATTAGCTCATGGGCGTTGCAGGCATGGTGCGTGCGACTTTCTCTTCTCTGCTCCATAATTGCTGCGGAGCAAGCGAAAGGGGGTCAGTCACGTTGCGAAATTGATGCTCGGTTTCTAGTGCGACAACTAACGGTTGGGTGAGATGCGATGAGGCAAACTATACCAGTTTTTGTAAGGGAAAATCCTTTTCCTTCACGTCCCTCCTCAGCGCGTATACCACTGTTCCCCCAACAACTCTCAACAATGCACCGTTACCACTCTCGACACTCGCCTCGACTACTGTTCCCGCCACTGTTCATGACGCGACCCAACCTCACGGTACGATTGGTATTCCGCGCGCTGGGCCTCCGCCTCGACAATTCCTAGCCTCGGGTTTAGGGTTTAGGGTTTAGCGTCTTCACACTTAAGCTTCGCTACATATTCTTCTCTCATGCCTTCGCTTGATGTATTGTTTTGCTTCGATAGTGCAATTCTCGCTCGCTGGCTCAATTGCACTCATAACACTTGGTTTTGAGAGCCCACGATCTCTTCTTGGATCGCACCCACACCTTCGCTTCCCCACTATCTCAATTTTTAGAGGGGGCAAACGTCTCTCAAAGCCGAAGCACCGCCGCTCGAGTGCTCTCTCGAAAGCATGCACGGCCACGACTGAGGCTCTCGCTGAGCTTGCCCGACACCCCCCCCCCCCCCCAATGGCCGAATTCAACATCGCGATGTTGACGCATGAGCAGCTCGACCAGCTCGTACGCAAACTTGAAGATTCGGCGCTCAAAATCGCGGCACTCACGGCGGAACGCGACTCCGCCCGCCAGCAATCAACGGCGAATGCACCAGCACCAACATCTGCAAATTCACCTGCGCAATCGGATGAGCCAATGTCATCTCGTCCGGCACACCGTCACATCACAACAGCGTGGGACAGCGCTCAAGCACAGCCAGCGATGGCACTGCCCAATCAATGCCTGGAATGGAGAGGAACAGGGCCGCACCGAACACGAGCGGGCCTCGTGAAGCCCGTCGTCCTGTCGAATTTGCAGCGACAAGTGGCAACGACGGCATCATCTCATAGTTCAAACCGCAGCGTTCGACTTGTTTCGACCTTTGCCAACGTGGAAATCCAACAGTTGAATCATGGGTCTTCACGATGAATGTCTTCTTCGACGCGAATTTGGGCGTGTCGAGTGCGTACACTTCGGCGTTTTTACTAAAAAGTTTACGTACCTGGTATCAGGTATCAAAATGGTACCGCCAGTTGCACCCTCAAATTTTTGTGTCCAGAAATGAGCGGCGGACACAATCCGCCACGAAGCACAACCCTAACAGCATATGTGCGAGAGTGGCGAGAGCATAATTCTGTCAGATTTGTATGACATAGCTGTTGTAGGCTGTAGTGGGGTAGCACATATGGGGTACAGCTTTCTAGGGTTGTATTTGTACCCAACTCTCACTTAGTCATTCATTCTCGTTCTAAGTTTCTCATGGTATAGAGCAGGTTCCGTCGTGGGAACTGTGCCTAGGGCCCACCACATCGAATTTCTTTTTCCTGCCGGGAGCGCGCTCCCCGAGTCGCGCTCCCCTATCTACCTTCGTCGAGCCGCCCTAGCGGCCTCCCTTGCGGCCCCGCCGCCCTCACTTGCGGCCCTGCCGCCCTCTGTTGCGGCCCCGCCGCTCTCACCTGTGGCCCCGTCGCCGCCCTCGCTGCGGCCCCGTCGCCGCCCTCACCTGCGGACCGTCGCCGCCCCCACTTGCGGCCTCGTCGCCGCCCTCATCTGCGGCCCCGTCGCCGCTCTCACCTGCGGCCCGTCGCCGCCCTCACCTGCGGCCCATCGCCGCCCTCACTTGCGGCCTCGTCGCCGCCCTCATCTGCGGCCCCGTCGCCGCCCTCACCTGCGGCCCGTCGCCGCCCTCACCTGCGGACCGTCACCGCCCTCACCTGCGGCCCCGACGCCGCCCTCAGCTGCGGCCCCGTCGCCGCCCTCACCTGCGGCCCCGCCTCCCTCACATGCGGCTCCGCCGCCCTCAGTTGCGGCCCCGCCGTCCTCACCTGTGGCCCCGCTGCCCTCAGTTGCGGCCCCGCCGCCCTCACCTGCGGCCCCGCCGCCCTCAGTTGCGGCCCCGCCGCCCTCACCTGCGGCCCCGCCGCCTTCAGTTGCGGCCCGTCCCCGCCCTCACCTGCAGCCCGCCGCCCTCAGATGCGGCCTCGCCGCCTTCCACTACTGCAGCGCCGCCCGCCGCCCGAGCCGCCTCACCCAGCCGAGCCGCCGACCGCCGCGCCGCCCTGCAGCAGCAAAACCGAGCCGCCTAGCAGTAGAGCAGCCAAGCCGCCGAGCCGCCGGGTCGCCCTGCAGCCGAGCCACCCAGCCGCCGTGCAGCCGAGCCGCCCAGCAGTCGAGCCGCCGTACCGCCCAGCCGCTCTTCCGCCGAGCCGCCCGTGCAGCACTGTCCGGTGAGCACAGCACCTCTGTCACTGCACTGCCCTTTCCCAACTGCTTGCACTACTGGTCTACTGTTGTCATGGCTACCCCTAGTGTCCTCTCTTTTGACGCTAAGGGTCGAGCCATTGACTTTGAGGTCTCGGTCCACGACCTCTAGCTGTTCTTACAGTGCGATAGGGCAGACGGTCTCTCTCTCTTTGACCTCACCTCAGGCGCCTCTCCTGCCCTTGCTGCTGATGCTGATGCCACTGTTCGATCTCAGTGGGCCACGCGCGATGCTGCTGCACGTCTTGCTGTGCGTCGCCACCTGCCTACCACTGAGCGCGCGCACTTTAGCCAGTACAAGAGTGCTCAGACCTTGTACGACGCTGTAGTTGCGCGCTACTCATCCCCTTCCACTGCAGCACTAAGCCGCCTCATGCTACTGTACCCCTTCCCTGACCTTGCTGCCTTTCCCACAGTCGCTGACCTCATTACGCACCTCCGCACTAGTGAGACTCGCTACCGCGCTGCGCTTCCTGCTGAATTCTGCGCCAAGAACCCCCCCACCATGTACATCACTCTCTATTACATAGTCACCCGCCTCCCTGACTCTCTTCGTGTAGTCAGGGACCACTTCCTCTCAGTCTGTCCCACCACTCTCACTGTTGACCTCCTAGAGAAGGCCCTCCTAGCAGCGGAGAAGAGCATAGTCGCTGTAGGAGCCTCTCGTGGTGAGCCTCGCAGCCCCATCTTTGAGGGATGTTCCCCTTCCCCCCTTTTGCCCTCTGTCGCCTCTGCTGCTGCGGCCGACCTCGTTGGTCTTGAGTCCGTCGGTGCGGCGTCTGCCCCTAGCAGGAGACGCCGCTCTGGCAAGGGCAAGGGGGGCAAGGGCGCGGGTGGAGCTAGCGGGGGTGGTGGAGGTGGCGGTGGAGGCGGCGGAGGGAGTGGGGGTGGCGGTGGGAGTGGTAGTGGGGGTGGAGGAGGTGGAGCTGGTCGGGGTGGCGCTTCGCAGCGGAGCGGCTCCGGTGGTGGTCCGCGCCAGCAGCAGCAGCAGTAGCAGCGGTCTCGGGACATCCCCCCCCCCTCAGCAGCTCCGTGAGTGGTACACGCAGCGTCAGCGTGGTGGGGGTTTTGGTCCGTGCACCTACGTCCTTCGCACCGGCGACCGCGCGGGTGAGCAGTGTGGGGGTGCCCACCCCACCCAGCACTGCTTTGGCCGCCTGACGGACGCTGGGCGTCAGCAGTTCCCGGAGGCTACTGAGATCCTCCGCTGGGGAGAGCTGTCTAGGGCAGGTGTAGCCATCTATGATCTTGACTTTGATGCTATCCTTGCTGCAATGTATGCTGTGACTATTAGTGATGAGGGTGACTGTTTCCGGTGTTTCCCACCCGACCCGGGCATTGAGACTGCTGCTCTGGGTACTGGTGAGGCTGCTGCTCTAGGTGCCAGTGAGGCTGCTGCTCTAGGTGCCAGTGCGTCTGCGTCCTCACGTGCTGGTGAGTCTGCTCTCTCAGGTACCGCGTTGGCTTCGGCCTCCCTCACCTTCACACTTGACTCAGGGGCTTCTCGCTCCTTCTTTCGAGACCGCACTACCCTCACGCTGCTTGGTCGGCCGGTTGC